GTTAAAATATAATTCATGAAAGTTTTCTTCAAAGAAACCTTGAATTCTCAATGTAAGTCACGATGTGTCAAATAAAACTATTTTAACAGCGAGCAAGCGTCAACAGAACATCACGTCAGTAATTAAAAATCAAGAATAGATATTACTAAGCCGCAAATAAAACAAACGAGTCACAATAATAATTTTGTTGCGTAATTAATATGTGTCGTAAATTAGCCCATGACGAGAGTCACTTTTAGAAGCAAGTAATTCTTGAGCTTGAAGAAATAAATGCTTGTAATTCGCTTTTCTATTATTATTGTGATTATTTACAGATTCATCAAGTAAAAACGACTCCAGTGAAGTTAGCATAGATGACGACACTAAGGAGATAAATTCCGCAGAAGAGCCTGACGATCAAACTGGAGAAGATAGCAAAGAAGATGAAAGCAGCCAAGAAGAGGTTCCCGTCGTTGAAGTCGCAGACGAACCCTATGTGTCTCAAGCTTTTGAAGAAGATGAAAAAAGTCCAGAAGACAATAATTCGAAAGAAGATGCGACAGCAGAATCTGATGACAATATCAGTGCTGAAGAACAGGCCGATAGCAAAGAAGACGATGGAGACAGTGAAGAACAAGCATCTGCTGATGAACAAAATGCCGAAAAAGGTAATTAAGCAAGTTTTTTTTTATACAAAGGGTAATAAAGAGTTCAAATTAATATAAGAAACATTTTAAAACATTTATTACAGAAAGTGGCGAAATCTCAGAAGAGGTAAACGAGGTTGAAACCGTTGATGATAAAAGTGAAGAAGACAAAAAAGATGACTCGTCAGAAGTAACTGAAGCCGAAAGTCAAGAAGAAGAAGCAGGCAAGGAAAGTGAAGAAACAAGTAAAGAAGGAGATACGGCAGAGGATAAAACAGAAGAAGCTGATGATTCAAAGGAAGAGAGTGTAGATTCTGAAACGGACGACAGCAATAAAGAAGATAAGAAAGACGAGGACGACGACGGATCTCAAGAAAAGGCTGAATCTGATGAAAAAGACGTGGAAGACAAAGAAGACAGTGGTTCTGAAGAAGTAAAGGATGACAAAGACTCAAAGGAAGAAAAAGGAGACGAAACTGAGGTCGAAACTGAAGCAGAAGAGAAAGTTGAATCTGATTCGACAGCAGACTCCGATGAAACTCCTGCCGAAACGGCGGAGGGAGAAAAGTCTGAAGAAAGTGATAAAGAATCTGCAGAAGGGGGTGAGGACGACGGTGATAAATCAGCAGAGGCTGATGAAGCTACTGATGATGAATCTGCAAAGTCTGACGAAGCCGATGGCGAAAAGTCAGGAGAGGTCGAGGTAGACAAGTCCGGAGAGGCTGAGGAAGACAAGTCAGGAGAAGCTGAGGAAGACAAGTCAGGAGAGGCTGAAGAAGATAAGTCAGCAGAAGCTGACGCAGAAGCCCCTGAAGCCAAATCAGGAGAAGAAGAAGAATTGCCAGAGGAAGAATTATTGAAGGTATGTTATGAACGAACATTTCTGTTTATGCTTTTAACTATTGCGTATTATTCAATTACGAGAAAAACTGCTTCGTTGTAAAATTTAGTAGTTAAATATAAAAACATAATATAAAACTTCTATCACCTATCTTTTTTAGACAGAAGAGATCCCGGAGAATCTGAGATCGCGTGATCATATCATCCAAGTATTGAGATTAGACGAAGAGGCCAGCGAGGCGGAGTTAATCATAGAAAAATCAGCAGACATCATACTGCGAGATTTGAAGAGAGTTTACGAGAATTCCATAAAGCCTTTAGAAGGGCTTTACAAATACAGGGACTTAAGTAATAGACACTTTGGCGATCCAGAAATATTTTCTAAGCCTTTAGTGTTATTCATGGGACCATGGAGCGGAGGAAAATCGAGTATTTTAAACTATTTAACTGGTTTAGAGTTCACAGAGTGGTCTTTGAGGACTGGTAATTGTTTGTTTTTAAAGTTTATTTTAATTTACAAAAAATGATAACACTTGAAAATTGTGACATATAATTTCAGGCGCTGAACCATCACCGGCCTACTTTAACATTCTGATGCACGGTAAAGATCCCGAAGTGCTTGACGGTACTCAACTTGCAGCGGATTGGACATTCTCCGGACTACAGAAGTTCGGCCAAGGTCTAGAGGAGCGCCTTAGAGGTCTCAAATACCCTAGCAAACTATTGGAAAAGGTAAATAAATAATTACCAAAAGTTGTACGGCAACGCATTGGAAGTAGAGTTATATTGTAGTAAAAAGTATTGTCTTATGACATCCGCACTGAACATCAGATGAAATTTCGCTAATTTCTTAAGAAAAATATAGTAGAATAAAACATATTACGTTTTACCTGTTTCAGGTTAATATCGTTGAAATTCCCGGCATATTGGAAGTTAGGAAGCAAGTGTCCCGTGTGTTCCCATTCAACGATGCCTGCCAGTGGTTCATCGATCGCGCAGACATTATCTTCCTCGTCTACGATCCCTCCAAGCTCGACGTCGGACCTGAAACTGAAGCTATACTCGATCAACTCAAGGGTAGAGAATCACAGGTGAACATACCTAATGAACCTGTGAACCTAATCGTTCGATATTCGAATATTTAATATTATTATTAATATTATAAAAATCGATATTTATTTTTATAAAGCTGTTGCAAATGCAGTTGGCTTTTGGCAAGAATTTTTGAGAATTCTATGTTCAAAGAGAATGAATATAAAACAAACTATTTTCTTCCAGACACGTATCGTTCTTAACAAAGCGGATACTGTAAAACCTGAGGAATTAATGCGGGTTCAGAGCGCTCTGATCTGGAATATCTCACCATTGATGAGTTCCGCTCAACCGCCAGTCATGTACACAGTGTCATTATGGTCAATTCCGTTTGAAGCGAGTGCACCGGCGCGTTTACTTCAGGCTCAAGAGCGGGAGCTACTGAGGGATCTCCGTCAAGCAGTTGACAGACGTATTGAGAATAAGATCGCCAGTGCTAGAAGATTCGCGGTGAGTAAAATTCATGGAATAAAAAAAGACGGACGTTGCTTGAATAGTCTTTTGGTTTGTGTCACAATTCACTGGTTAAAGGTAGTTGTTGATTCGCTTTATCGTTCTTTGTTCTAAGTAGTTATTCGTTTTAGATGTCCATAAGTTAAAAAAATATATAGTTTTATTATATTTTCAACTATAATTGTATAAAATTGCAGGTCCGTGTGAGAAACCACGCCAAAATGGTCGACTGTTACCTGACAACGTATTACAACCATAAGACCATTTTCGGCAACAAGAAGCTGATTGCTGACGCTATTATAGAAAATCCTCAGAACTACCACATTTACGAAGGACTGAGCACATTGACAAACATTTCTAGGTAAGTTACTTGTATATTTAATACAAATTTTATTAAAAATTATATGGCAACATTTTTTCTATATTGTTAGTATTTTTTTCTGTGGTCGCATATATTAAAATTTATTAGAAAGTACTTCAATAAAATTACTTAAATGATTCCATGTTACGTATTTAACGTGACGTCAATTAAAGGCATTTTTGTTAATTTTAAAAATTAACGTATTTTTCTTGGTAGTATTTGTAATATTTATTGTATTTTCAGGTACGATCTTCCTGATCCAGAAACCTATAGGGACTTCTTCAGACTCAATCCCCTTTATGAGTTCCAACAGTTGTCCGCGACGTGCACTTATTTCCGCGGCTGTCCCATCACGCGGCTCGATGTTGCCATCGCTTACGATCTGCCCGAGCTCGTCGGCAAATACAAGAAGATGGTGGAGACCGCTACCCCCCAGGGCATGCCCAAAAGTTGAGACAAATTAACCCCCTTACCTTGTAACGCCTGCTTTTTTTATTTTAGCAAATTGGTATAGATAATTATTTTTGGGCACATTATGCATTTCTTTATCTAATTTGGCGTCGAATCACATTTGTTTAAAAAGTTTCCTCATAAAAATCGCATTTCGTATTCGTTCGTTGTTACATTAATTTGCTTAAACACTCGCTTGTTCCTGTTTCTTTTTTTACGTGAATGGTGTCGTGTCGAATGTTTTAAATATGTGTATTTTTCACAATAGAAGATGCAAGCCAATTTCCAGATTCCTATTTAACAAAGTTATCAAAATTTTATGATTTGTATCTAGTCATTATGTTAAAGTTTGTTAGTGAAAACGTTGTTAATTTATTTATTTATTGGGGCGAGTTCCTTGATTTTAGGTCTTAAGTACCATATGTATTAATGCGGTCTCTGCCATGGTTCATCTTGTTTGAAGGAGGCGCAATATGGATATTTTATGATTAATAAGTTAAATAAAATAAATAAAAAGTGTTGTGGTTGTTATTTTATAACTAACATGAAAATTAAATATTAACCCCTGAAATTTAAAATCGAAGCTGGCTACAAAATACAACCTTTATGAAACAGTTGCTTATGGACTTGTGGCTTGACGATAAACCAGCAGTTTGATTTGATTAATATGCTAGACTCTTGAGTCAACTAGTAGCTCATTTAAAGTGGGTAGACTGGGCTGGTGACCTTGCGTGATGGATCGAAAGGACAGCTCGAATAAGCAAGACTAGCTACAAAACATTAAAAAAAAGAGTTTATATTATATTCATAGAACACACATATAAATTTCAAATATTGTTTAGTAATTAACACAAAGAATTCTATAATATTTTTTAGTTAATCTGCTTTTACTACAAAGACATTATTTGGAACTGGCAACAAATCACATCACTTCCATTTTTTAAGTAAAAATGGTTGTCTCCTATGTTTCATTTACATTATTACAAACGCTTTAGTTCATTTTGTCGGTTTGTAAATTAATTTATGATATTTACATTTTTAACAATATTTCTAAATGAATTCAATATGTGAAGATTATTAAAAAAAGACCATTTTATAATCTGTAATAGAAGGAAGTGAAGAAAAAAAAACGTAAGTCTGACACTTTTTCTTGTAAATATGATAAGATTTTAATTTATTACAAGTGATTGACATATTATATTTAACCTAATTAGTTAATATATAACAACGGAATGCATACGGATTTATCACCGCACTTGCATACTCATGAGTGCAATATCCTAATAAAAAAATTACAAGACTGTCATGTTGAGGTTAGTGCGGTTCGGTAATGTTATTTTACAATTTGAAAAAGAATGTTTTCAGAATAAAGCATGTAATGATAAAAGATCATTTTGATCTCTTTTTCCCTTAATAAATTTACGAGTTTTGTATTGTTACTTATTAAGTTATGTTATATTGCAGCATTCTTTTCGAAAATTTCTGGGATATTGCAACGACTTTGATAGGGATATGAGAAAGTGTTTGAAAGGCGAACGTTTACGACGTCAAAAGGCAAATCACGAAGAATCTGTAAGAAGACATGCTGAAATTAGAGCTCGCATATTAGCTCATAATCAAGCTACACAATAGTTAGTGAAAAAAAATAATAAAATGGAATACAACATACTGCAGTCGATTAACTTGGAAGATTTATCTCATTTCAAATCATTTACAGACCGTTACTTTAGCAAAAGATATGTACTCAATGTTAATGGAATTGAAAACAATGATATAATGCTAATGTTCCACTCAAACAGAATAACACTTATAAGTCTTGCACCAAGTCATTTCTTTTTCAAGAAAACTGATCAATATAAAATTAATTTCAGTATTGGCAATATTGATAGATTAACGAACTCAGTAAAAGGCAAAGGAAAGAAAGGTGGACAAATGTTAACTGCAAATTCTGTTATTTGTAAAATTGAATATGATGATGGGACAATGTTTGCTATACCTTGCTGCATGAAAGGCACACTTATTGAAGTTAATAAAGAATTAACTAAGAATCCTGAACTATTAAGAGAACAGCCAGATTCTAACGGTTTTATTGCTATTATGTTGTCCAGTATTGCAATATCGGATTCAACAAAAAGTGAACTTTTAAATCACGAAGAGTATGTTAAAACTTTCAATAGTTGATAATAAGTAGATAATAGATTGTTAAATAAAGTCATAAATATTTTGTATTTGATTTGTTTCCTTTTACCCCAAATGAAGCGACACAAAAATTGCTATCTGACCTGTATCTTGACCTTTTTATGAGCCAACAAGTCTGCAGTTTTGTGTGTGACATTGTAATTGAACTAACAGTTTGTAACTCACCCAGTTGTTATGTAAGCAATAAACAAGCAAATTTATTATACAATAAAAGAATAGAATAGATGTTAGTACAGACAAAGTATGCAAGAATTTTCAAGAGATATTTGAAATTAAAACTTTAATGATAAAAAAGTAAGCTGCATTTATAATGAATGCAAAGACAATGAACTAATTTTCTTATCACTAATTTATTTACTCAATTGCCTGACCTTAGACCTTCTACTTACGAAAGTTTGATAAAGTTGTATGGCTGTTGTCCTGTTCTTTGCTACAAATGTGTCAACATACTTACTAAGATGTGCTCTCAAAGTTTAACGCGCGTGCTTTTTACAAAGCAATCCAATTTAAAATGGTGTATTAATACAATAAACAATCGCTTATATAGTGAAAAATCTGTAAAACCAAAGAAGACACCTTTGTACGATCTGCATGAAAAGTATGGAGGCAAAGTTGTTGATTTTGCTGGATTTCTTCTACCAGTACAATACTCAGATATGAGTGTTTCAACCTCACATTTATTTACTAGAAGCAGTGCATCTATTTTCGATGTATCACATATGTTACAAACCAATGTCTATGGCAAAGATTGTGTTTCTTGGTTCGAGTCAATTTGCCCGGTTGATTTAAAAGGTATGGCTAATGGAAGTAGCTCTTTGACTGTATTCCTGAACAATAATGGAGGAATTATCGACGATTTGATTGTCACTAAAGTAAAAGAAGATCAATTGTATATTGTATCAAACGCTGGTCGAATGGACGTTGATAAACAACATATGCAAGAGACTTCGGAGACATATAAAAAATCTGGAAAAGATTTGATAGTTGAATTTTTACATGTTAGTCAAAGAGCTCTTATTGCGGTGCAAGGTCCGAAAGCAGTGACATCATTACAACCATTGACAAACATACCAATGGCAGATTTAATATTTATGACGTCTACTATCGGAAAAGTGGCGGGAATAGAATGTCGTGTGACGCGATGCGGGTATACTGGAGAAGATGGAGTGGAAATTTCCATACCTGCGGACAAAGCCATCACAGTTACTGAAGCTTTGTTACAAAATAGTGATGTAAAACTAGCAGGATTAGGTGCTCGAGATTCTTTAAGACTTGAAGCCGGTTTATGTTTATACGGTAATGATATTGACGAGACAATTACACCGGTGGAAGCGAGTTTGACTTGGCTTATAGCTAAAAGACGTAGAGGTGAAGCCAATTTTCCCGGAGCTGATATTATTATGAGACAGATTAAAGAGGGAGTAGATAAACGACGTGTGGGAATAAGGATAGAGAAAGGTGCTCCAGCAAGAAAAGATGCTGTTCTTAAAAATGAAGGAAAAGATATAGGTAAAGTTACTAGTGGATGCCCTAGTCCATCACTAGGAGGTAATGTTGCTATGGGATATGTTGCAGAACAATTCAAGAAGTCTGGTACTGAATTATTCGTTAACATACGCGGTAAAGATGTACGCTGCGTCGTAGCTAAAATGCCTTTTGTACCATCGAGGTATTATATTAAGAAATAAAACAAAAAAAAATTCATTAACATATTTCTTTATTATTCTAAACTATACTAATTATTAAGATACAAAATACTACGAATTGACATTACCAAAATTGATACATACTATAATATTATAATTAACAATTTGCAAATTAACAATTGAGCAATAACAAAATTCGAGAAAACATGTTTAGAACATTTAACATTCAATACAAAGGAATATGGTGCATGGAATTAGAAGGAATGTTTAGGTATATATTTCGCACTTGCTAATACTGGCAACTACAATACAATGTGTACTTCACTATCACAGGAATATTATATAAAGGAATTAATTCTCAACATATTATAATTGATATTTAATAAGTACATAAAACAACAGAAAATTCCATATTTGAAAAATATTCACAATTTTTTTTTAAATTATAAGGTGGCAAATGAGCAAGTCAGCCACCTGGGTTCGCCGAAATAGCGAAGAAACTGCTGCATAAACATCTGATATTGCAGATGCGCTTTACCTTAGTCAATGGAGGTGGGGATCCACAAAAGGATATTTCCCTTACCTATGCGTCCCTTCCTCTGCCATATCTACATCTCATTACCATTATCTTATAAGTAAATGGAGGGAAGGGATAGTGGACTAAAATTAGGCCTCCGGCACACTAACCCACCAGATCGTTAGCATAATCGCTTTCACTAGATGCTTATCTTTGTGGTTGTGGTATTGCACCGAGCATGCGACCAAGTTGAGTAACATTTTTTATATTTTTATAATTATTAATATTTATAATTAAACCACCTTATAATGATATATCTAAATGAAATACATATAAAATACATACCTGAACTTAAATATTGAATTTCAATTAATTACTATACCTAACATTAATTTTCTATGAGCAAAAGATATACCAAAGGTGAAAACATTAAACATTTAATAATTTTTGTTTCACTAAAAAATACACAAAATGAAATTACTAAGAATCAATTTTTTTCAATGCATATTAAATTTATATTTAATTTATTTTATATTTCTAACTGGGAATAGTATGATATTATAAATCCTATATTTTAGCACCAGGCTATAAAAAAACATTAAAAAAAGTTCACGAATATTGTCATATTATGGAACACAATACTTTAAAAAAAAATTAGCGACCATAGTCATACTATCGCACTTGGAGACAGTCTTACAATAATTTTAAGTACTTCTTCCTAATTCTTGGTCCCATTTAATTTGGGTAAAAAAAAACAGTTTTAATATTTTTTCATACAGTAGAAGAGATCCATATAATAATTAAAGGTATGTAGTTCAGTCTGTCTATGTTACTTACTTTGTCCATCCTTGAAATTATCTTGAGCAAGTCGAGAAAAATCTTCATTCAACTTATTTATCATTTCCGTACACTGAAAAAAATAACAAATACAAATATAACATTTTTATGTTATAATGTTTATATAAATATATAATAATAATATTCAAGAAAATATAACAAATGTATAAATTGTGAAAAACTGACCAGACTTAAAGCACTTTAGTTATTTTAAAACACAAACATTTTCACTGATATCACCAAATAAAATTGTTCTAATAGCATAAATTCTAAAATTAAGTGTATTTTTATTTTATTTATAAAAAGAGGCACAAATAATAGTAGAAATTGAAAGTTTGCATATGGCAATACTGTTTGACAAGGTTAAATCACATTGCTATTATCAAACTTTAAGAAATCGTCAAATTATTAAATTATTTGATTTGAAGCCTTGTTTGACATTTTGGTCCATATTGTATACATTTGGTGAACAACTTGATGAAACAATTTTGTCAGATGATCGACGAGAAATCAGACGACTTTGCTATATACGCCAAATGCCATAGACAATTTTAAGGGTTGCTATTTTATAATTTATGCAGAATTTAATGATTGAAGCACCAATAGCCTAATAGTTAAGGATACGTATTTCTGATCAGATTTTTGACAGTTCAAATCCCAACAATCGACACTATTGTCGTCAACCATCATATCACAAGCCTATTTGGAATGGTACAAGAAATATTAGTAAATTAAAAAAATCTTCTAATTTTCAATATTAAAAAAATTCCAGAAGTCATATACAACAAGGAAAAAATTAAACTAAAAACTTACGTCATATTCAGGATACTGATGTGCGGGTGTTCTTTTTCCTCTGTTCCTATCCTCCTGCATCCTGCAGTTAATGTGGTAGTTGATTTGGTTCTGCAGCTTGACAAATATCTTTCTGTATTCATCCTGTATTCTGCTTATCTCACTGTTGATGTGAGTGTCTTTCTTTGCCATATAGTCCTGAGAATTGTCAAATTATTACTAAAATTAGTGAAGCAAATTGAATTTATTGACACCAATAGAATATTTTTAGACTATCAACGAGTACTTTTACTAATATTATAAATGTGAATGTATGGATGTATGTTTGTTAGAACGTCTCTCCAGACTGCATTGATCTCAATGAAATTTGGCATAGATGTAAAACATAGCTTAATCTATTAATTAAAATTAATCTATAATTAATTTAAATTTCTCGCGGACGAATCCGCAGGCGATATCCAGTATAGAATTTTTTTTTAATTTTTTCTTTTTTTTTTACAATGGCACTGTATTAAACAAATTAAAGCTTAGGACTGAACTAAACTAGGAATAAAGAAGTACCTTGTAAGTGTAAACAGTTTTCTTCGCGTTCTTATACTTGTCCTGCATATTTTGATATTCAGTTTGTAATTTAGAGTATGATTGTTCTTGTTGTGCTAATTGTTCCTGCAATTCTGTCACTTTAACTTTAAGCGTCTGCCATTCTGACGCACATACGTTCGTCTTCTTCTTCCAATCTTCTCTCTCTTTCTTCAACATATCTTCTAAAGAACCCAATTTAGTTAATCTATCTTTATATCTTTCCGCTTTCAATCTCCATTCCATACTACTGTCTTTTGCTTTTTGACATTCATTTATTAATTCATTATGTTCCTTTATCAATACTGATATCTCTTTCTCTTTCGCTTCCAATATCTCCGTCACTTTCCCACGTTCTGATAGAATGAATTCTTTCAATGTTTCAACTTCGTGTGCTTTTCTTTCTAACATTTCTTTTAATTTATTAATCATTGTTGTTTGTTCAGCTTCTAATTCTTGGATACGTCGTGTGCAGTTCATTTCCATTGTTTTCATTTCTAGTGTAAACTTTTCTGCTAATTGCTCTCTTATTGCTTTTTCTCGCATCATAACTGATGTCTGGAAATTATTATGTATCATATATTCTCAACACAAAAGTTAATATAACGGTATGAGACAATACAGTGCTTATAATAGTTGTCACAAGGAGTTTCAATAA